TTCGCGTCTAGGTCTAGACATTGGTGCAGCTTCGACCTGATCCTTATTCCGTCCGCTGCTGATGCACGTCTGCTTTCTGATCGACTCACCACCTGAAGATCGCGGTCGACTCTCACGATGTGATTGTTTCACGGCCTCTCCTCTAAGGGATCCCTCGCCACCAGGCTTTAGTTATACTTCAAAAGCTCGTCCCTTGTCCCTGGTGCGTGACAGTCCTTCACCGTGTAGCTTCAGGACTCACGGAGAGGTTTGCTCTTTCAGACGTGGCGAATTTCGTCCACCGGAGCGTACGTTGTATTCTGACCGGTATGAGGAATGTCGCTCGGACGTTCTGAACGTTGACCCTCCCCGTTTCGGTGATCGCGCACCGTCAGCAGGATACCGTCGTTCGCCACCCCCGCCTAATCCCGAGAGGCCTCGAAGAGACTTCTGCCCTGGTGACGCGACGACGACCGGCTTCCCCCAAGCGTGGCGTATGATGATGACCGTAACATGCACGATTGGGAGCACCAACGTGCTCCTGTTCTCGATCGAAACCACGACCATGATCGGACAGGACATCCAAGGTTCGCTAGCGGCGAATCGCCCCCCAGCTTGAAGAACACCAATGTTGAGTATATGGCGGTTTCTCCGCGTCGTCTTCTTCTCCGCCTGCCCGTCCGTCTGGCACTGGTCCTCTGAGTGCACGTCTTTCCGACGGATACCCTCCTGACGATTGGGATGGTGATCACTCTCAACGTACTGGCTATCCACCTGTCGATGCGAGCCCGGGGCGACTGTAGCCGGGTTCGCGGTCGCAGCCCCAGGCCGCCATTGCAGCGAGCTAGGGATGATGTGTACGTCCCTTTGGAATGTTATTTCCTCCACTAAGCGCGCCCGGCTCGACTACCTGTCGCCATCGCGACTGCGTACACCACCGCCGGGGCCTCGGGCGCGTACTATCATGATGTGAGAGCCTATGCTCCGCACGGCGTGGGCCCTGCTCCGTCGGCTCGTGGCCATGGTCGCGACTGAATGGGTGGGGACAGATATCCGCCCTACGACAGGCGAGAACCCCCACCACTAGGCCGGATATTGGTATGCCGGAGGCAAGTATGGAAACGACAACCGCCGATACCCTCCACTGCGCTGTGGCTGCTTAAATGTGAGCTTTTCTGGCGGTTCGCACTCCTGGTGTCTGCTGACAGGATAATTTACAGTGAATTGTTATCGAGAGAACATGGCGAACTATGATACTTCTGTCGCTGTCTGTGCGCATGCACTATCTAATCAATATCTAGCCGCATATACGTGCTCTATTTTCTGCCGCACGATATTTATTTGCATATCTATGGCCACGTCCTCCACCGTGCGCTCGTACAGTTGCCTTGGAACGAAATGGACGACGTAGATAGTGCACAGGGTCCCTTCAGAATTCCGGAAGCGCCAAAAGGCGCAATGCTCACACTTCTGCGGTGTCCACGATAGGGTCATGCACGGGATATCAGGGCTAAGGTACGTTTCATTCCTCACTTAGTGCCCTTAGTCATGCAATTAACCATCAATTAAGACCACGGACAGAGATTATCAATATCTGGCTCGCCTATGCACCCGATTGTGCTACTGTCTCGCTGTACAACTTCGTTTCGGACGCAGACCAAGGACGGAGCGGTACGTGTGCACGCTTTGGGGCATCTGTGCTGTTTTATTCATGCCTCTGTAGCATCTCTAGGTCCCGGATATGTTTCCCCGTTAACGCATGTGCTGCCTATTCCGTCCGTGCAGCAACGGATAGGACGTCCCCGAGGCATGTCAACTTGGAATAGCTGCATATTAAACCACTCTTGCCATCACAGGCGCAGCTGAAGAGAACCGGTGCACGTTTATGTGCAGACCGTGATGTTTGAAGGTGTGCGTCCTATATAACATTCCCGAGAATCTGGATAATCTAATTCATTCTGCTGTTAGATTCTTCGCATGATTTCTTAGTTTGCCACTACTTTGCAGGCCAGATTCAGGTTTCGGACCGGGGAAAAGTCGCTTAGTTCACCCGTCGTCGGATTCTCGCCCCACTGGTTGTTTCATGTGCCGGCTGATATCTGGGTCGGTGTAGTCGATACGGATTGCGCAACTAGACTCGGATGAACGTCCCCATAGATACAAGACGCCCGTCATTCTTCAGGCGCTGCAAGAGTATCAACAACTGGACTAGTTGCTTCAGGTGCGCGCTTGCGAATCTGTGCAAGTCTATCGCTGATACAATCTGCGAAGAATCTCTGACAAACACATCTAAGTGCAGTAGGCTGGCCTCCCATGATCTCGATGTCTGTATGGCGTGTTGGCTACGTTGAGCGGCGTACTCAAAATGATTAGTGGCCAGCCTTTGCCTATGGTCAGCCGCCAGCGAACTATGCCTACTGGAAGTAGTGCGTGTGAGGCTGTCTACGTAGAAGTCAGACCTGAATATGAATACCCGTGACCTGCCGGTTCTGTCGCAGATGATCCCCAGGTCGATTCCTCGAATGGCTAGTGAGCATAAACACAGAGCGAAAGCATATCGCGGTTACGCAGACAGCGCCAACATGTCAATGTTCAGCATTCTTGCCACGGGTCATGACAGGCGGCTTCGCCGTGGGTAGGTCCCGGTATCTGGGCGTCTCGCCAGTGAAGTCCTCCCGTAGTACTCACCTTGTCTCTCTCTCCCCCTCGCTCGTCAAATTGCATATTCAACAGTGATCGTTTGTCCTGATTATGTCTACTACCCCGACGACACAGTCTGAGCTCGGAGGCCAAGATTCCTCAGCCAGCTCCTCGCGCTTCCAAGAACTCTGGGAGGGGGCCTTTCTGGAATACAAGAAAGTTACGGGCTCGGACCTCCTTCGCTCACCGCTCTACAACCAAATCCAAAAGGCCGAATCCTCAGGGAAGGTTGCTCGCATTCTCAAGGAACACAAGAGTAACTTTAAAGCTTTCCGCGCGCACGGCGAGAAGATCAGAGCTATTATTGCGCCGATCTTCACCCTCACCAAGCTGTTCACCGACGCTGGTGGCGAGATAGCCGCGGCCTCCGTGTGTGCTCTTTAGATGCTAAATTTCCTTATCTCATCTATGAGCAGAGCGCAGTGCCCGGCGGCAAAGCGATCTTCGCGGCCTTCGGGGTCTTTCTAGAGGTACGTCTGTCATTTGCACCTCAGCCCTGTCATTTTCTCCCTTGGCTCACAGTCCCCAAGGCATTCGATAAGGTTAGCGAGCAATACGATGCGCTCGAGGAGCTTCTCTCGAGGCTTGGAGGCGTCCTTGGTCGTCTTGACAATCACCTGCAAGCACGTTCGGTGCTCAACGAGCAGCTTAAAGGCGTCTTCGTCCGCGCACTTGTCCAGCTGCTCAACGTGTTCGCCATCTGCACGAAATACACCAAGAAGCAGATATCTGATCGCACGGCTGTCTTCACGCGCATGAGTAAGGATCATTTACATTCAGACGCGCCTCGTTCCTGATCACCGAGACAGAGGACTATGGACGGGCCCTCCTTGGTAATAAGGATGTGAAAGATGCTCTTGAGAAGCTAGACGAGCTGACTAAGGAGGAACTTCTGGCCACTGCGGCTCAGACGTTTGATGTGGTGCAAGGTGTAGCCGCCAAAGTCGAGCTGGTTGGTGGTGACGTTACGGAAACAAAGGAGAATGTCAAGGCTGGTCTGTCATCACCATGTTATAGTGCAACTTTTTGTGTTCTCATTCAATGCACCTCTAGTGCGCAGTGACCTGCGAGGTATTGGAGCCAAAGTTCTTAATTTGCATTGTAAGGGCAGCTTCTCGAAGATATTTATCCTAGCTTGACTGGAGCTACGCTGTATAGTGGAGTCTGTCGAGAAGGACATTCGTGATTGGTTAGCTTCCCCTGACCCAAATCAGAACCACGAAGAGCGACGAACTTCATATTTGGACGGCACATGCGTGTGGTTCTTTGACCACAAGTTCAAGGAGTGGAAGGACAGCAGCAATGGTGTATACTGGATTCATGGAAACCGTGAGTTTTTTCTTTCCAGCTGCGGTATTCATGCAATAACTCTGTGTTGTAGCTGGGACAGGGAAGAGCATTCTTTGGTGCGTATGCATTAGTAGGCTAACATCTTTTCAGTGCTGATAGCATGCAACCATAGCTCATCTGTCATCGAGCACGTCTCATCCATCCCCGGCTTGCACCTGGCTTACTTTTACTTTGACTACCGTCGCACCGAGATGCAGACTGTGACTGGCCTGTTGGCATCTCTGATCTACCAACTTGCTACTCGTGCAGAACAGTGCCACCAAGTTCTGCGGCAGTTCCGTACGGAGAACAGGGAACAGCTAAAGCCAACCAGGGAGCTTCTCCTTAGCTGCCTAGAACAGGTCCTGCAGGCTTCCACTGGGACAGTTATCATCATTGATGCTCTCGACGAGTGTCCACGCACTACCCGACGAGACGAACTGTTTCCCTCCCTCCGAAAGCTTATATCAAAGAATATTAGAGGGCTACGTATTCTCCTGACAAGTCGGCCCGAGTCTGACATCCGGGCAGCCATAAATAGTTTTCCTGCTCATCAGCTCAAGCTCCATGACGCTGATGCACACACCCGTGATTTGGCCACTTATGTATCCCACGGTCTTGCCGAAGATGACTACTCAAGCTGGCCACCTAATATTAAAGAGCTTGCTCGAAAAGAACTTGTGTCAATGGCAGGTGGCATGTATGTTGAGTCTCTTATTTTTAGTTTTATTCATTCTGATTGCGTGTAAGGTTCCTATGGGTTGATCTCCAGCTTGACATGCTACGCAGCTGTCCTCCTAGGGATGTCCGGAAGGCCCTGGCCAACCTTCCCAAAACCATTTCTCAAACATACGAGCGTATCCTTACAAGCCTTGAGTCCAATGAGACTGTTGCAGAGCAAAGGCGTCAGATGTTCCAGTGCATTGCATTTTCCAAACGGCCACTCTCTCCTTCCGAGCTTGTCGAACTCTTCGCAGTCAACTTCTCAGCTACTGAAGGCCCAGAATTCGACCCCGACTCTCGCATCACAGACCCGGAAAGCTTCATAGGCAAGATGTGTTCCAGCTTCGTAGAGATCATCGGCAGCTGCGACAATGACACAGCCGAGTATCCACGCCTTGTCCAATTTGCACATACCTCTGTACGAGACTTCTTCATCGCAAGCCAGCTGCCATCCTCCCTCACGCTGTACCACATTGACGAACCATCAGCGCACACCACTCTGGCAAGGGTGTGCCTGGTAACCCTTACCTCCTCTTCACCGCCATCAAGCCTTCCCTTTTCCAATTACGCAGTGCGATATTGGCAAGACCATGTATTTCGTGGTCAAGTTGCCGACTCGGAGACTATTGGCAAGCTGCTGACCCGATTCCTCCATCCGACCACTCCCAATCCGTTCTTGAAGTGGCAGAAGGCACGGCCCGAACACCAGAATGGAAGACAGTCTCTGCTGTATTGGGCAGCCTATCTGGGGCTTGAACACCACATTCAAGACTTGCTCAAGGTTGAGGGAATAGATATCAATGCTTTGGGAGGTTTCTTCGGGACCGCTCTGTCTGCCGCCGCTAGCCAAGGGCACAAAGACGCTGTCCTATTACTTCTCGGCGAAGGTGCAAGTAGCAGCATTTCTAATGAACGTGGAAACACTCCATTGCACCTCACTGCAGAATTTGGCCACGTCGCTATCGCGCGCACTCTTTTCGAGCACGGCGCGGCTGTCAACGCGCAGAACAAGAACGGGCGGACGCCGCTACACCATGTTGCACAATATGGCCACGTCGACATCGCGTGTGTCCTCTTCGAGCACGGAGCAGCTGTTAACATGCAAGAGGAAAACCAATGGACGCCACTACACTTTGCTGCACAATACGGACATGTTGACATAGCGCACGCCCTTCTCGAGTACGGCGGAGCTGTGGATGCGCAGAACGAGACCAAATCGATGCCGCTACATGTAGTTGCGCAACATGGCCATATCGACATCATGCGCACTCTTCTCCAGCACGGCGCAGCTGTTGACGCGCGAAACAAGTACGAAGCGACGCCGCTACATCGTGCTGCACAACATGGCCACGTCGACATCGTGCGCGCTCTTCTCGATCACGGTGCAGCTGTTGACGTGGCGCAAGAGGAGGGATGGACACCGCTACATTTTGCTGCACGGTATGGCCACGTCGACATTGTGGCCACTCTTCTCCAGCACGGTGCAGCTGTCGATGCGCAGAACAAGTACAGACGGACGCCGCTACATCATGTTGCACAACATGGCCACGTCGACATCGTGCGCGCTCTTCTCGATCACGGTGCAGCTGTTGACGTGGCGCAAGAGGACGGATGGACACCGCTACATTATGCCGCACGATACGGCCACATCAACATTGTGTACACTCTTCTACAGCACGGCGCATCTGTTGATGCGCGAAACAAGTTCGGACGGACACCGTTGCATCATGTTGCGCAACATGGGCGCGTCGACATCGCGCGCGCCCTTCTCGATCATGGTGCAGCTGTTGACGTGGCGCAAGAGGAGGGATGGGCACCGCTACATTTTGCTGCACGGTATGGCCACGTCGACATTGTGGCCACTCTTCTACAGCACGGGGCAGCTGTCGATGCGCAGAACAAGTTCGAATCGACGCCGCTACATTATGCTGCACAACATGGCCACGTCGACGTCGGGCGCGCCCTTCTCGATCACGGTGCAGCTGTTGACGCGCAGGAGGGGGACAGGTGGACACCGCTACATCGTGCTGCACAACATGGCCACATCGACATCGCTCGCGCCCTGCTCGATTACGGCGCAGCTGTTGATGCGCAGGAGAAGAGGGAATGGATGCCGCTACATTATGCGGCACAACATGGCCATGCCGACATTGTGGTCACTCTTCTCCAGCACGGCGCAAATATCCATGCGCGTACTAAGAAATTCGAATCATCGCCGTTACATCTTGCCGCACAATTTGATCACGTCGACGTCGTGCACGCCCTTATCAAGCACGGCGCAGATGTCGATGCGCGGAACATAGGTGGATCGACGCCGCTACATGGCGTTGCACTCTGTGGCCACATCAAGACTGCGCACGCTCTTCTCGAGCACGGCGCGGCTGTCGATGCGCAGAAGGATGAATTGTGGACGCCGCTACACATTGCTGCACGTCATGGCCGTGCCGACGTCGCCCGCGCTCTACTCGAGCACGGCGCGGCTGTCGATGCGCAGACCATGAGGGGATCGACGCCGTTACATATTGTTGCACGATATGGTCACGTCAACGTCACGCGTGTTCTTCTCGAGTATGGCGCGAACGTTACGATCGCGGAGGACGACGGATCGCGTCCGCTGGACTACGCGGATACGAACATGGACTCTGAAATCATAGAACTGCTTGTAAAGCACGGCGCCGGCATCCATCCAGAGAACCCACCACATGGCGAACCCGCGGCCTGAGACGTGCATGGACATGTGGCACGGACAAGGCGCGTTGCGCATGCGCTGCGCGGTCTGTAACGCGTGCGTGGAGGACCAGCGAATCGGAGCGGCTTGCGGTACTGCGGGAGGAGGCTGGTGGAGGGTCCGGAAGGGTGAGCTAAGGTTGCGCCTGGTACGCAAGGTCAGTGATGCAAGAGACGGGCGAAGGGAGATCTCGAAAGACAGTACCTGAATCTGGCTGTATGTTTGTATGTTTGTTCAGCGGATACCTCACACGTTATCAGCGCAGGATACTTTGAAAGATTGTGTGCACGTCCTATTATTGCGAAATGAAATCTTATACTTGGGCACCCGTAGCTGTACACTCTACCACACTCCGCCCATCTTCAAGCCCGCGCAACGCGTTAGCCAAAATTGTTAACACAGAGTTTTTTATCGCAAGGTAACCCGTCTTCTTCATGCCGTTCCCCCATGCTATCTTTGAGACAGTATCGTGACTGAGCTTTGGTACGCTTATGTCGAGCTGCCTCAAGGGAGACGGCCTGAACGTGTACGGGGACTAGCAGCGGATGAGAAGAGATTAAATCGTGCACGAGAAGGTCGCAGCGATGGAAGAGGATCTCTACCACTGACCTGTCGATGAGCTTCACCCCGTGCTTAGGAATTCGCGATGTACTTGCGCTCAAGCCTGCGGGTGTACGCGACGGCAGTGACGCCTCGAGAAGCCAGAGAGAATCTTCATGAAGAATCTCCTTCCTGCCATCGGCGCCGGGAGGGTACCTTAGCACCGGCATTCGGAGATGAGGAGGAGTACCCTGGGCGAGAATGAGTCGATGAGTGAAGCTCGCGGGAGATTAGATCGATTGCACACCTCATTGAGACCCCACACCTACGCTATGTGTCCGAATGCACTCAACACACACCAGATTCTGGATCCCCAATGATATGGCCGACGATGGCTTGTTCGACTCGCTTGGAAGCATGTTGAGCCTGCTGTGGGCACGATTATTGCAGAGTACCGGGGAAACGGCGATATGAAACGACTTACCAGTATGATATTCAGTTGAAAAGACTGACAGGTTTGCAGCCGCGAGGCAGTATTAAAGAGGGACAGCAGAAGAATATTTGGAGGGGATCTTGAATTTGAATGGTTGAGAGGAAGGGAGAGAACGGCACTGTAGCGCTCAGTGTTCGTGTATAAATAGTACATCGTCGCGTCCTCTCCATCTCGCTTCCAGTATGAAGCCTACTCAGCGGATTCACTGCGACGGCCAGGATGTTGTCCTTGGTGTGCGATTTTTTTTCCCTCCACCTGACTCCCAGATCCATAAGGGCGGCGAGCAGGGAAAAATGAACCCAGCATCATCCTAGCTGCCAGTTGTGTGGCAACTCTCACCGAGTCGAGGATGGCCAACTCAGCGTTTGCAACGGACAAGGATCCCTTGAACAACACTCTTTCTCTTACTCCGAGTGCTTGCGCCGGTGGTGGGTACGCTGCCTCTCCTTTTCTTCTGAGACCGTGACTTGACCGAGCATGCTTTCCAGATGAACCGCCCTAGAGGCCAAGTAGAGCCCTCTCGAGTAAAGGAAAGAGGTCTCAGGCCGAGCGTACGCTACTCTAAGCACTGTTTTGCGATTTGATGTGCTAAAATATCCTAGCAATACTTCAGACTTCGCTCGCGCCACGCCCACAGGTTCAAGGAAATAATGACCTTTATCCCTACCCTCACAAGTTCGAGGTCTCGCTGTTGCTTCCACACGATATTGGCGGGTGTGGTTGAGAAGGCAAGATCAAGTCTGGAGGGACGATCAAGGGCACCATCGAATGCCTTGCAGGACATACCTACAATGTTCGTGCGTCCGGTCTATGTTTCTGTTTCTACGACCTCTATGGCGAAGGCTGGAAGGTACAGATCATGGCGGTCAAGCAGTGAGTCCTTGCCGTTCTGTCGACTACAGACCCACGGAAACTATAACTTGTTCAAGACGCCAAGGACCCAGAAGGCTTCGTCGCGCAACACAAGCACTTGCGCCGTGGTGCTATCGTTAATGTCGTGGAATTCCAGGACGTTTCAAAGCAGGGCGAGCTCCGGATCATTCCCTCAGAGATGATTCTCTTCGCCCCGAGCCTCCAGCAGCTAATGTCGGGCCGCTTCGACCTTGAAGATCAGGAAGCCTACTACTACAAGCCTTACCTGGACCTCACCTTCGACGGGGACATCGTGACAAGGCGTGGCTTCATCTCTCGAGGCCGAATCGTCGACTGCATCCGCCAATCCTCCGACAACCTCGGCCTACTCGAGGTCGGAGATACCGATGACGAGCTCGACCGCTGGGAGTGCGATTGTGAAGCCGTCAAGCATTCGCCACAGCGGCCTCGATCTCGGCCTGTAACTCCGCGTCGCCTTCGAGCTCTATCAGGCGCGTGTTCCGGGAACGAGGGCATTGGCTAATGCACAACCGAGTTCTCGATCAGCGAGTTCTACATGGCGTACGCAGCCATCTACGATATCGTGGACATCACGGAGAGCCCGGCCTAGGGGTTCGTCAAGTACCTGCAAGTAGGAAGACGACGGTGATGTCCCACCCCGAGGGCTGGAAGGTGTATGAGCCGGAGACTTGAAGTGGCCGTGGCCGTGGTACGACATGGTCAGGACGCTGGGGGAGATGCTCAGGATGAGGTTTCCGGCAGGCGAGTCGTTGCACCCGGATGATGCGAACAAGTTCTTGCACGAGTTGTGCCAGAAGGTCTGCTGTTTTTCTTACCAAGGCTACTCTTGAGTGCTCAGCTTTCTTCACAGCACAATATCGACTTGGATGAACGCACGCCCACTCGCTAGGCTTTTTGGCGAGTTCAACTTCCCCGCCTTCATTGGTAATTTTGTTCTTGTTTATCTTCTTAGCGTTCCACTGATAGTTGAGCAGTTGGTCGCCCACAAATAATGCCACAGCTTGCCAAGCACCGCCGATCGCGCCCTGGTCTTTGCGAGCATCTCAAGGTTTCATGTACAGAAGGGCGTTCGCAATGCGTACATGGAGCTGAACGACTCATTCGAGCAACGGCTCTAATTCGAGGAGTGGGTGAGGCAGAAGGACCAGGGCGATGATGAGGCGCAGGGTGTCGAATAGACAATTCAACCCGTATGTGCCGTCTTTTGTTGCATTTCTATGCCATCTAATAACTTTGCTATGCCATTCTTGAGCACGGCCTCCCACCGACGGGCGGGTGGAGTATCGGTATCGACCATCCGGTGATGCTTCTGACGACCGACTCTGCTAGTATGTCTGCCTCTTCTTCGTTCCTCTGCATTCTCGTTAATCATGGTTCAGACATCAAAGAGGTCCTTCTACTCCCTGCGATGAAGCCGATAAAGACTAAGGCTGACACTGCAGGCCCTGCTATGCTCCCGAGGTAGGTCCAGACGTCTGTGGCCTATTTGACGTACTCGTGGATGGCGGAGACAGAGCACGGAGGCCCGCAGTCTGGGTGCTACTTCCGCGATCAGTAGGGGATCGTCTCTCTTGCCGCGGTTGGGATGTTTTACGGGCTCTCTCTCTTCCGCAGCTTTACCACCGTCGTTTGACCACCTGGTTCACGGCGCAGCCGCTTCTGGACGCGCTGCAGCTGCGTACACAAGGGCGCGCCCCTCAGACGCGTTCTTTGCCTGCTTCGAGGACGGGGTCTTCAACTACGGGGGCTTGTAATGGGTTCGCCTCTGAAGTTGCGATCTCAGGCGTGCAAGCTGGGCGGAGGGCTGGCATGAATGGTGCGCGACGCGAATGTCTATTACCAACAGCGCGATTGACTGAACAGCTGTTGCAGTGACGTAGGTACCGACTCGATCCCCGCTGCCGTTGGTACAATGCCAGTACAGACGCAACCACGTCGCTCTCTACCGTCGAACAACTAGACCAGGCGCTCGGATCGCTCGAAAATTTCAAGCCTGAAGAGTATGGGCTGCCACCCTACGATTCGTAGATATACAGATGTTGTAACAAATGTATAAACATCAATAGAAATCCAATAAAAGTCCAGCCAGCGAACAAATCAGCCCCTGTCCTCTCTGCTGACCCGAGAACTCGCCATCCTCAGGCTCAGGCTGTCCCTCCTCCCTCTTCGCCCGCGCATTCTGATCCCGATTCTACCTCACCCTCTTCGCATTCTCCTCGACGACAACCGCCATATTCCCAGTCCTTACGTCCTCGGCACCACCGATCCCACTAGCAGAACTACCGCTTGACGCCCCGCTCGACGCGCTCGATACGCTGTCGGCGCACATGAGCCTCTCGCCTTTGTGCGCCTTCGCCCGCTTGCGCACGCCTTGCCAGCGCTTGAGCCGCTCGTCGAACACGTTCAGCGTCGTGACGCGCCCGAGTCTGCCGCCACTTGTCGTTACTACGTGGAAAGTGAGCGTCACTTCTCTCCCTCGCTCTCCGACTCGCCTCCATTCTCGCTCGTTTCGTCCTTCGGTTCTCATTCTCATTTCGTTCAACGGCCTCGTACGACCCTGTGAAGTCCTCTGTCTGCCGGGCTTGTATCCACTAGCAGTGCCGCCGTGGTGTTCCATCTTGCCTGTTCTTAACTGCGATGGGTGTATCTGTCGCGCACTCCAGCGAAGGCGAGCCAAGGCACTGCACAGCTTTGGTGAGGTCGAGTCAATAGTCAAGTTGTTGCTGTCCTTGGCGACTCGTAAGCCTCGGCTAGCTCGAGACGTCCTCGGGCAAAATGAAGAACCCCAGCGCGGCCACGAGCTCGTCTGGGAAGGCTGGCTCGTGCATGGGTGGATTAGATCTCAGAGTGTCGTCGCCATTTTCGATACATTTCATGATCTCGAGGCACTCTCCAGCAAACTTGCGATCTTCGGCGAGCAGCTCTTCTGGAGTGAGATGTGGTAGTGTAGGATGCCAGTACCGTTGTGCATACTCGGCGTGCCATCTTTCCTCTGCGGAGTACTTGCGTAGGCCGGAGGCTGTCGCATTCCAGAGACTTGTCCACATAGCCGAGTCTGGAAGTCTCGTCCCGCGTTCCGGCAGGCACCGCATCGCTATAGCCTTTCGGCTCTGACCGACATCATGATGCGCCGCGTACAACTGGATGTGAAGAAAGCAGAAGCGAACCATGTCCATCGGATGATACTTCGCGCTGTCTTCAAAAGCGCCATGTACATACTGCTCTGCAACAAGCGTTGAGTTCCGCAATATCTTCGTTTGATCTGCATGAAATAAATAGAAGAGCTGGAACTGAGCACTGCAGAGCATACCTTGGCCTTTGGCAGCCTGGAATGCGTCCATAATCAGCCGCATCATATATGCACGCGAAGCGTGTGTCGAGTGGTGCAATGCTGCGACCGTGGAAATCAATACTCTGTAGCAGTGAGTCTGGGATCCCCAGAGTGCAGCAAGGGTTATAACTGCGTCCGCTCTTCTGCTCATGCAATCTGCTAACTCCGCGATAATGTGCAGCCCTTCTTCTGTGCCTAAGATGGGTCTCCCATCGGCCCCACTCTCCGGCAATAATGTGATGCGCAGGAGATTCCAGGCATCTTCCAATATCGGCCGTGACATTGGTCGAACGAGGAGGTCCAGTTCCCGATGCAGTACTGCGTATAACGATTTTATCCGAGCAAGAGGGCGTGAGCAGTATGGCCGAAGGAGTTCCGCGTACATGAAAGATACTGTAAGTAAACAGGCGTCGTCTTGACTGCGGCTCTCATAAACTGGACGTAGCCGCTGGGATAGTGGACGAAACACGAAATCTTGCTCGCCGGGGCTTGGGGCTATCCATCGAGCGATTGACTCTGCAGCAGTCAATGCCGGTGCGTCGGAAAGAAGACCTCGTAGGCAAACCACTGCGACACGGGGTAAGGGGTGGGGAGAGAAGGATAGAAGGAGCAACATCGTTTTGTGCAGCCAATCGGGACTGGAAACGAGTAAGGGTCCAGCCTGTTGACGACGATCAGCCAGCTCTGCGAGCATCTTCATAAAAATGTCCCATTCTCGACGCGAGAGCGAGGAAAGATCCGGGATGCAGCGTAGCCTGACCGGAAGGAGATATTCGGCTTCTGTATCAAGACGACCGGCAATGAGACGAACGATGAAAGAGAGCGACTGCATGGGATCGTGCGAGCGTTGCTTGAATATGTCCCAGATCCTCGGAAGCAGATTGTCGTTGACCATGATAGCATCTATGAATAGCAAGACATCTCCACTGTTCTGAGCGCCTTGCTCGTAAACTTGATGCAGTCGATGGAATAGTGAACAAAAGACTGATTCCAGCTCGCTGGGGTTTGGGGCTATCCATGGAATGGACAATTTCGCTCTGATAAGTGTTCCCGGTGTATCGGCAAGAAGGCCACGAAGACACAAAATAGCGGAGTCAGGGAGCGGATACGGCGAGCTGGAGAGGAGGAGTAAGGTCGCCTTGTGCAGCCAGTCGGGGCTGGAGACAAGCAAGGGTCCAGGCTGGCGACGGCCTACCAAGTCTGTGAGCATCCCCATGAAAGCGTCCCATGCTCTCCGGGACAGCGAGGCGAGGTTCGGGACGTTGCAAAGCCTGGCAGGACGAAGGCGCTTCGCCTCAGCACCAATACGACTCGAGATAAGCTCAACAACGAATGACAGTGACTGCGCTGGGTCGGATGAGCACTGGTTAAACGCCTCCCACATTGTCGGGAGCAGGTTGTCATCCGACATGATGGCGTCTATGCTTAGCAGGATGTCCTTGTCGTCCTGGTCTTGGGCGACGACCTGGTCCTCTTCCTCCTCTTCCAGAGTGGCATTCAGACTTTCGTCCGAGTGCGCAGTCTTATTGGTCGCACACGCGAGAATTGAAGTCAACGAGCGGCGGATCTTCATGGTGACTCGTGTTCTCACACTCCGCAGCATAGACTTGAGTAATGGGATCTTGTATGGGCATCGTGGCGAGATCACTGGCGCGAGCGTGGTAGCAACGAAGAGGAAAGCCCAGCCCGAGACGAGCGGCACGCTGACGTGTCCCATGCGCTCGTCAACAGACGCGGTGAAGAAGCAGAGGCCGACAAAGAATAGGCCGAGGGAGAGCTGTATGAGTATGGGAAGTACTGCCGCGATTTCGAGGACTTTCCACTTCTCAAGCCCTGGCTTCCGGTATTGGCGTGCGCGAAGGCGCTCCTGCGGAGCAGTGTACGTGATCGCGAGATACTCCCGCAGCCACTGCTTGACGAGCATACCAAACGATGCTGTCGAGAGGCTAACAACGAGGCTTGCGAACCAGAGGCCATTCACGCGAACGGCCCACGGCGGAGCCGCGAATTGGGGGAGAGGGGCGGGAGGTTGGGTGGTAGAGTTGATGGTCCCAGACACGATCGTATAGCTTTGTGTCCGTACAGCGATGCGTTGAAGTAGATAGACTATCTGGGCATCCGAGCTGGGCTGGAGACCTGTGTACGATTCGACGAGAAAGGCAGATAGCACGGCAGAGTACAGACCGGCCTGTCGCCAGCGGTACATGAAAACGTGATACGGAGCGAGATGTAATCCGACTCACAAATACCAGAAGAGTGTCGATGTCTTCTTTGCAGTCCCGGATTTCATCTTCATCGAACTCACGGACAGTCTTGGCCATTGTCTGCCAACTCGTCGGAGGTGAGACCTCTACATAACGTACACCTCTGGTGGACTGCAACATAAGCTTTTGTCATCGTCCAACAGAGCTCGACTGGATATAGGCCGTACAGGAGGAGCTTGTTCCGACATGCGTGCGGTAGTTGGTGGGTAGCAACGAAAGGAACGATGGGATGGTAGAGATGGCGATGGGAAAATATGTAGTGCGCACCTCCCAGTGAGCGAGCGCATGAAGCGGCGTGAGGAACGCCCATTCCTACTTTGACTGAAGACCAGTCAGATCCCATCAAAAGCTGGGCCATCAGCATCACAGTCGAATGCAACCTGCAGTGCCTATATCCGCCCTGCGGGCAGGAAATGAAGATAAAATTGCAAACCGAGCTGTGAGTTTAGGAGCCCAGATATTACCGCCTACAAGACATGGCAGTGCGAGTCCGTGTGTGAAGCATCGCCCTTCTTCGGAAAATTAAACTATCTTCTCAAAGAAATCAAGCTCTGTCTGGAAACACGTCCTCCAGATCTTGGTGTCGCGCATGCGGTGTCCTTCGTTCTCTAACGCGAGCACTTCCGCGCGGTGACCCTGACTGACGATAGTGCGTGCGAATTCTTCGATCTGAGTAAACGGCACTTGCGGGGAGAGCTTGCCGTAGATGAGCTGCGGAACGTATAAGCGCGTTCAAGTGAGCGAGGGTACGTCGTCGTCAAGACGTACCAGGACTGGGTTCTTGATCGCCTCTGCGTCGTACCGAGGCGAGCGCTCTCGGTATGCCTCTGGGATCTCGTCCGGATAGCCACCCACTAAATGCTTCGCGTAGTGCATCTGGAACTGGGGAGAAGGTTAGCGGGAAAAGCAGCCGCCATCCGAGCACCTCACCTTTTGCGTAGCTTCGTGGATGGTTCTCAGGTCAATCAGACCAAAGTATGATGTACCAGCAGCGTAGAGGTCCGGGTGCAAGATTAAGGATCGAAGCACACCGTAGCCCCCTGGGAAGCCATGTCAGCTTAGGTTTACATTGTATCTTGGAGTGCATACCGGACGTGCCACCGCGCAGGGCGATTCTTCGCGGATCAATTAACCCAAGTTCGATAATCTGTTGAGTAGCGTCCTTCACATCGTTGACATCGCGAATACCGAATTGACCCTCCAGCCTATGCCTAGCCGACTAATGAGCACTTGGGGATGGTGAACAGGCTCCGATGCTTACTGATATTCTCTACCAAAGCCAGTTGATCCTCCAAACATAACCTCGATCCTACGACGGCGATATAAGAATCGCGAGCCATCGTCAGAAGAAGATGCTCACCATGCCCATCCCCGTGAAGTATATAGAAGACGTATCCAGTCAAACCCAGCGCTCGGTCTGTAATTCGGCCCCGCGTGGAAGCTGACGACTGCAGGTGGTTTCTCGCCAGGAAGTCCCTCGAAGTCGGGGGAGGTAGGTGGGAAGTACAAAGCATGAAGAGATCTGCCCTGATCATCAGATAGTAGAAGAGATTGGGGCCTGGGCATGTAGTCCGTGGAGAGGTCGACGGCAGTGGAAGGCACTACCACTTCGAATTTTGTATTCCAAGAACCGCTGAGCTCGGGCAACAGGGTTAGCCGGATTATAGCGGAACCTTGATCTGCCTTTGAGCCGACAAAAGCGACGGATGTTTCGCTCAGGGCGCGGACTTGTTTGAGAACAGGGTATGGATTATCGAGCTGCCCCAGCGACCCATGGTCGGTATCCAGGACGTATAGCTTGGTGAGGCCTCCGGAAAGGGCGCTACATATTGCTAACGCTGGGCTGAGGACTGCGTAGGTGGAAGTGCCATGGAACCAGTGCGCTTCGGAGAAGTCTTCCGCGATCGGGGACCGGAGGATCGGACGAGCTGATGCCCCAATGGTAAACTTCCACGGCTGACCCCAGCCCGAGATATCATAGATGAACATCAGGCTGTCGTCGGACAGCCACTGCGGCTGCTGAGCAATGCTCTTCCCAGGCTCGCCGGCTACGACCACCTCGTTGGCGAGAGCAATGCCCCCGTCGCTGGCGACAACGTCTGCCACCACGAGTTGCATGGAGTGGAACGCGGAGTCTGGGTGATTCCATCGAGTGTATGCGATCCTCTGGCCGTCTGGAGAGAAGGTCGGGTCTGCATAAAAATCCCAGCCTTCGGCGATAGTCGTCACGGAGCCCTTCTCCGTGTCCAGCGCGACAAGGCTGGTTTGGACGGCGCTCGCGGCAGGGTTTGTGTGGTCCTCGCGGACGCAAACAACAATTCCTTGAGTAGGATGGATGTCTAGATCGCCGAAACGCCACTCAGGCCTTGCTACCATAACGTTAATTCCCGGAGCATTCGGCCATATGTGAGCATGTATGCATACCAGGTGAGATGGCTTCGCAATGTCCATCCGTAGCTTTGTATATTCTGAAGTCTGGTATGTTGGTAAAGAATATGTTGTTGTCCTTCGCGGCCATTACTCGCCCTCCGTAGCCATTGATGATTGAGCTATCAAAACGCGTATTAGCAAATTGTACACCTTGGCATGACAGCTACCCACCGCGCGTGATACTGATCCCCGATGACATCTTGTTTGCGTTCGGTATCAACGATGATGAGGCGAGGGTCCGACGGACGCTTTTCAGTATGGTAAAGACGTCCCCGTAGCGCGTCCACCACGAGATCTTCGAACGTAAGAGCCTGAAGTGTGCTGTCAGATATTATGCAGTAAGTCCGATGTTTGTGTAGCCAAACTTACTTCCTGGGTGATCATCTCTGTCGATACAGGACTTTTCCACGTGCCATAAGACTGAGGAGACTTCATAATGCGTGTGATATGCGATGCTGGAGCGTGTGTGCTGGCTGTAACTGGAGAACTATGCAGATGTGGAGAACTGAGGCGGACGAAGTCTCGTCATGGTCAGCCCTCGCTTGAAATGCAGTCTGCATGCTTTCCCGGGAAAAGATATGGTATGTACATTAGCTTCCTGGGAAATGAAGGTGTGCGTTCGTGAGAGAGCGGCGGCGGCGCGCAGCGATGTGGCCGTCCTCCTCGGACATCGCGTCAACCCAATAAGGAAACAATTTTCCACCGTCTCCGGAGACGTGAGCCTCCGTCTTACACGCTACACTGCCATCCAACATACCATCCTTGCGGACGAGGTGCGTACGGGATAAAATATGCCTAATACGATGATATATCAAAGCTCATTAATATTGTGCCAGCCGCAGATATCAATCGTCCGACGGCACCTTTTCAACATATTGTTTTCTCACTAACCTTTCGCGAGCTCCCACAAGTCCATCAGCTAACGTACACCTGGTGGCGACCGTGCATCTTTGCTGCTCGCGGGAGCATCTGAGCGCAACAAAGTAGTATGATTGCTGAGTATCTTCCGCGCAGTCCGGAGATACATCTTGGCTCGCCGTTCTCTCGCCAGGCGCGCTCAGGCCAGTACTTAATTGATTGCCCGCACCTGCGGAATGAAGAGACCACCTACGCTGTAAGGTCGAGCACCAATGGAGACGCTGACTCCGAGTGAAGTCCAAGCCCTGCTACGTATCATACCCGTTGGGGCGCCAACGCTCGAGCTGTGGTTCAATGGTAAAAGCTCAAACAGATCTTCGGCAGCAGTTCTGACTCACTTGTGCTCTTGAAGGTGTATACGCATGCCTCACCGTGTGCACCTGCTGGGTCATCGGTATGGCATACATGACCTCAGCATTGTCACGATGTTAACAAGCTCTCGGCTGCAGCTAAGCATGAAAAGACCATCACGCGCAAGCTTGGCTGGATTGCCGCCGTGCTCACGATGTATATCCTTTCTGCTATCCATGCCATCCACGCCATGATCTTCTTATTAGCCAACCTCGTTGACAACGCTGACTCCCCTGCTATCTTGTCCGCGTTGACTAAGCAGGCTCGTTGGTTCGCCGCTACAGGAGTCACGGCCGTTCTCGTCATTCTTTTCATAGCTGATTGCATATATGTACGTGGAAATCTCCGTGGCTGTAGGCACTATACTGAACATTCGCATCGTCAGATATGGCGATGCTGGGTCGTGTGGGGAAAGCAATGGGTGGTAATCGCTTTGCCTGTGATGTGCGTCATCACAAGTAATGGTAAGATCATTTCAGTTAGTAGCCTTAATGTTCAAATATTGACCACCATGCTGTTCAGTGCTGGCTATCATTGGCAGCATCGTGCAGGTGGACGCCGAGACCGGCCCCACGAGGAGCGAACCGAAACTGGCCCACCTGACCGCGACATATTATGTCCTTGAGCTGGCCCTTACCCTTTACCTGACGGCCTTCATCACCGGCAGAATTATCATCACTCAGTTCCAATTCCCGCTGGCTGAAGCGCGTCGCGAATTCGCTATCCGGTACTCCCGAGCGATAGAAATCATTGTCGAGGGCTGCGTACTTTACTCGGCCCTTTTCCTCGCGACCGTGGTCTTTACAGCACGCGGAGACGAGCGAGCTTCCTGGCCTATTGCTCTAATGCCCCAGCTGGGGGTACGTGAACCCTTTGCTTATTTCGCTCAAATAATTGACCTTGCCGTAACACTAGGGTATCATCCCCACACTCCTTCTGTTCCGCGTTGCGACGGGCATGACAAGGCCTGACTCGTCGTGGAACGGCGAGTTGAGTCTAGGCAACGTGGTATTCAGGGCTACACGAACCGGGCGGACGTCGATGACTACCGAAGCGGCTATGTTTGACACTATCCCACAGACTGGTTGTGAGGCATGCTCTCACGGAATCGCGTCTGCGCACCTTCCATCCAACTCGCACCACTCGTCGGGAACTTTGGCTCAGGGAGAAGAGAAATCTGAAGGGGGCGATGAATGTTCCGTCTGAAAATTTTATCGCCCGGGAGGCACCAAGACATCCCGGGCCGTGCCAACTTTTGTGTATGCGACTGCTTTCTCTTCCGCACTTGGCGTTAAAACTTAGTCTAGGAGCTGCCGTAAATACTGAGCATGAGCTAAGATATTTACATCGCCTTCTTGTTGTGATCTTGCCAGCGGCGGCTAGCACGGGAACTCCTGCTGCCCTGCAAACCTGTGTTCAAGCTTACGCACGCATGCAGCCCGTGCTACCAATCAATCATGGTGCCCGCTGATTTTTTTGGCAGCTTATCATTTCGCCTATTTCTGTTCCGCTCCAAAATGATGAGCGATGTAAGAGATTCTGCCCCCCCCCCTATTTTCTCCGGCATTCGCCAGCCGTTGATGTGGTTACACCTAATCTTCCTCGTCATTGCCTTGTGGCCATATGCATCTCACGCCGGGGGATGGATTTGCACAGCTGCCGAATACGTAAGTCGTCCGCCCATTGATCGCAGGCCGAGAAGATGATAAAATAGATCATTGTTGCGCCGCAGTAGGGTTGATATCTCTCAAGCCGTAGTAGGAATCTCTCTGCTACAGACAACACCGATGTGCTCCACATGAGACTCATCAACATTATCATCAGCTTATTATGTTAGTATTCTATTCTAGGCGCATGCCGCCCACGACTTGCGAAATCTGCTCAGCCCCGGTAACAACTAGAAGCCCTGTAAATGATGACAGTATGCAGGCCATGCCAAAGAAGCATTGCGGTCAATCAAAGAGTCTTCTTCAATCCTAGATGCGTCAATGCGAATGGCACTTGCACTGAGAATTCTCCGAACGGTGGTCACGGAACTTAGGCCACCGCCTGGAGACCTTGAAGCGGAATAAGTGCAGTCCTTGGGCCTATATAACGTGAACTTACTGGCAGCCAGGCATTTCATTCTTCTCTCTGTCGATTTGGTCCAGCACATCCGTCACCATAACCATGAACTTCAATCTGCTTCTGGCGTCCAGGCTCGTGTTCGTGCTCTTGCCAGGTCAGTAAATATGCTCATTATAACTGTTCTGTAAATTTACATACCTTCTAGGTTACGCTGTAGCTAGAGCCAGCTGTGAGATCAACGGTCTCTGTTTTGTACAAAACCCAGTGAGTTTTTGTCCCAGATGCGTATTGTAACGTCGTGTTCCGCTGACACACGGTACCACAGGTCGCAAATTCCCTGAGCGAGGTTGGATTTGCGTTCCCCAGGAGCCAGCCGGGTGTTGATTCCGAGATGCTTGTCAGCATGAAGGTTGAGCTGCCGTACGGGTATGCAGGATTTGTCCCTGCACAAGGCGCGGAGCAAACTCTGCGGAGAGCTTCATCCGGGCAAAGCAGCACTAACTTGACGGGCTTCCGGAGTGCAGCCTTCTCAATCGACTTCGTATCAAAAGAGACCCAGCTGGAGGACCCTACAGTGGTGGCAGCAGTAGAGCCGGACGACTTTGTCGTTCAGGTCAGCAAAATGCTGTAGGTCATGGTTATCCCGCATACTCATTACGAACGAAACGACTCACATGTTGTACGCATAGCCCAAATCAGACGTTTGCACCTACCGGAGCCAGTGGCATCTCGGTTTCTCAAGACGTGTTCTTCATCAACACCTCCTTCTATCAGCTCATCACGAGGTTCCAAGGCGCCGCTATGCGCGAGCTGGGGGTGTCGCCTGACCAAGTTTCTGCAGTCACTTTCATTAACTCAAATACTTTGCCGACTTACATCAACAACGCGACACCGCCTGCCGCTCTCTTTGATGGGTCGCCCGCAGCGATTGACACCGCGTTCGAGTTCGAGTTCGATGGAAGGAGTGCCCAGTTCGAGAATTACACGGAGATGCTGAAGGTGGCAGGGTTTGTCTAAAAATGAGAGACAAAACTATCAGCTCTGAATATGCTTAGTGTATTAGAACGCTGCACATATATGCTAGAGTAGAATACTATGGGAAGCGTAATGTTTGTCTTCATCGCAGTCACGGTTGAATCTTTGGCGCTTATCTCTCCCGCGGTGGCGCTCGGCGCCTGCCGTGATAACACGGCAATCTGGTAGGTCTTAAGCTTGACTTCCACCAATATCTTTTACTTCCGACGCTTCAGTTTGGTCCAGACTTTGATGCACAACGCCGCTACATGCAAATAAAATACTGGCGACGTATTCTTGCCAATAGCTCTCAAACCCACTGGGAGTTGATCAAATTGCCTTTTCCTATCTACGCCGATCCAACCCTTCCCACCGTCGCAGCAGATGCTTTGCACCTGATTGCTGGCGGGACAAGTCTGAGAATGCCAAGTTATCATTGCAATGGCTCTTCATGATCTTCTTGTAGCCTCTAAACGTGATGCGGTCTGTCCAGCGGGCACTGCCTACGCTCGTTCCTCCCACGAGCCGATATACTGTACCCGTGCGACCAATCCGGTGCGTCATGCATCACATGGCCCTCTACCACCGTTCTGGTTACATTTTCCACCGGGGGGGGTGCTGCCACTTCTAACGTTCTTTTTTTGTTTTTGCTACAGGCAATATTTAAGCATGTTTCGTGCCTGCGGCGCGAAATTTGCGACAACAAGCCTATATGCACCGCCGATGTTATTGCCCCTGTGTCTGTCATTACACCCTAGACTACGGTACAGTCAATTTTAGGCCGCGATCGTCTAACTTCCGGATTCTCGACCGGTGTCGAAAGTCACTGTCTAGCTCGCCTGGTAGTCCGAGTCCATCGTCACACGTCACGCCCGCTGTCGGACTGGTCGCACGGGTACAGTCATGCCCAACGGGCTAGAAGCGTGTGTTGATAGATGGCCGACCAAGTCGTTTTTGAACCGTGCGAGCGGTAGCCCACCCTCGATACAGCTCGCCCACCTGCATCCTCACGTTCACTATGCCGGGACAGCCAGACCAAGCTCTTGCTCTTGCTCACTCGCTGTTGTAAGCACCACCTCTGTACGTACTTGCTGTGTAATGCTCATCCCTTCATGATTCAGCCTCGTGGGAAACTATGTCCTTGTAGCTGTCTCATGCAAGTGCATCCTTCGCTCCTCACTGCACTACTCATAGTATCCAACCCTTCAGCCCTCGTATTCTATGAGTTCATCATTACTATTGCTGACGAGATTAATATCGTCTGGAAGAGACCTGTCACTGCATCTGCTGTGCTCCTTGGCTCGGTCAGATGGTGCATGCTCCTCATAGCGGCCTTGTCACTCGCGCCAACAACTCAGAAAGTAAATCTCGTCTATTATTGAATGATAGGGCCTAAAACTATGCTTCTTACAGGAGCAAGTCTAGCCTGTTTGCACTTTTTTGCGCAAATAAATTGCTTATCAGGATCCCATATACAGCTGCGCGCCGATTGGCATCCTGAGCGCGGTATTCGCCCTTATTGGACTTGCTCAGACTGCACGTACGTCTCGCCGAGCTTGCTCAAGTCCAATAATGCCCATTGACTTCTACACGCCAGTCTTCTCCGCTCTGCGCATCTATGCGGTCTGGGATAGGAGCTACGTCTGGTCGATGGTAGTGTTCGCGCTGGGCATGGTATCATTCGCAACGGATATGGTGCGTGCCGCTTCCTCTCAGGCTCGCATATGCTCTGGTTGACTCTTCTGTTGCAGGTTGCCACGACGACGTCGAAATACAGTGTCGTCGCAGATCCACTTTTGGGCGTGGACTGCATCTCGGACGTACCGTTCTCTGCGCGGACAAACAGCATGTTCGTATACACACTTCGCTGTTTCTGGTCCTGAATGCTCATTTATTGATTTGTTTCCCCGCAGACGTACGTGTTCGGGTCAAATATTTCGGCGCGCCGCAGACACTGAAATCGCCTGCTCACAGTCGTTTTCATAACCCGCGGTTCACTTATCCTCGCCGATGTGATCGTGCTCATCCTGACCTGGAT